GCTAAAGGACAAATGTATATTCTAGTAAATAAAAAGCCAATGGCTCTGAGCATTTAGGGAACCTCTCTGCTAGAGAGTAAGATCTCCACCTAGCTTCCCCCATGCCTTCTAAATTTATATTTCTTGTCTAGTATATCCGCATGTGTGTGTCAGCCCCTTCTCCAGACCTTGAACCCTAGCTGCAGATGGATGAGGGAGTCACAGACAAATATCAGAAAGGGATGAGTGGGGGATACTGGATAAAGAAAGGTGAATGAATTAGCTAAAAAAACAACCTGGGCATAGCTCATAGGGTGGGGGGTGGAGGCTGGATAGAGGTGGGCAAAGGGAGGGTAAATAGGGGACATCTGCAATAATGTCAACAATTAAATTTTTAAATTATAAATAAAGATAGTGTTTGTTGTCAGCTGAATAACAGCAAAGATTAAATAAGTCTATAGGCAAGCTCAAGTACATCACAGAATCTCAGAAGTAGGCGGAACTTTAGAGAGTCATCTGGTCTAGCAACCCATAAAACAATTCCTTCTAGATTACCCCCAACATACACACATACCACCACCAACACCAGTAGTAGTCTAACTTACTAGTAAATATCTCAAACAATGTGGAACTCTCTACCTTACAGAGCTGTCTTTTCCATCTGTTAAGAGTGATAGAGTGCTATTCAGTCCTAGTAAATACTAGTACCTGTCAGAAGCTCATCATTGAGGTGGTTTGGAAGAATTCTCAATACTTCTAACAGGGCCTCTCTCTCTCTGAGAGGTTACTGATATTCAGGAGTAAAAAAGACTGAAAATTTTCCTTAGGAAGTAATAATGAAAAACTCGGGTAACTGAGAAAACCCACAGGAATTCCTAGGAGTTTCCTGATTGAGCACCTGCAGGAGCTTGGGGACTTAGCTTCTGGGACACCTCCACTCTGCCCCACTGCCCTTTTTCTGGGCTTCTGGCCCTCAGGGATTGGGTTTCTACCATGAACTTTGACAAAAGAGAGCAGAGAAAGATATTCTCGATGCCCAAACTTCTGTCATAAGGCTCTCTGGGGAACAGCTGACAATCATGAGCTAGGCAGGCCAATAATCCAGCAGGCAGAAAGGGAATCTCCCTGCTCCAGCAAGCACAACCCAAAGAAAAGAGGCAACAAAGCAGAAATGATTATTATAGACCCAGCAGAGAATAAATTTAGGCATATTAGCCTTCTCATAGAATGTCATCCTTCTCAGAGGCCTCAATACCCCAAGGATAATGCTTAGTGATACCTTTAATAATAATAATAGATACTAGTTATTGAGCACTTTACTCTTGGCCAGGAATAGTACCCAATATTTTATATGTCTGATCTCCTTTAATCCCTACAATATCACCAGAAGGTAGATGTTATTGTTTTCCTCATTCTTCAGGCTCAGAGACTGGTAAATGACAGAGCCAGAATCATAAACAACTGGAATCCAAGCTTCTTTGACGCTAGAATCCATGTGCTAACCACTTGACGTGCTAACTGTCTCAATGAGGCAAGACAAAGCCTCTCTCTGCTTCTACAGCCATGTGTAATTAATTCTTCACATTGCTCTTCCAGGATTCCCTTCTGGCTAATATTTCCAGCTCTACTTAAAACTGTCAATAGCTCTGTTTTTGCTTCTCATCAAAAATTCAAGATCTTAAAGATAGTATTTAAGTTGGTCATAACTTATGTTTCAGATCTATTTTATATTCTTAGATTCTTCTATCCATGCCCCACTCCGCCTTCTTCTCCCTTATGCTTCAGCCATGCTGATGAACTGTTCTCTGAAAATGCCACACCTCATCCTATCTTTGCTTATACTATTCCTTCTGCTTGGAAATCCATTCTTTAAGCACCCTCCTTTCTTCACCCAGCCTACTTATTCATTTTTTCAAAGTTAAGTTGACATGTCAAATCCTGTCTTTATTTTTTTAATTTTTATTGAGTTTATAGGGTGACACTGGTTAACAAAATCATACAGTTTCAGGTGCACAATTCTACACATAATCTGTACCATCCCAAGTCGGTCTACATCCATCACCATTTATTCCCCATATACCCTTCTCTACCTCCCTTCCCACCTCTCCCTAGAAATCACCACACTGTTGTCCATGAGGTTTTTTCCCCCTCTCTTTTTTGCTCAATCCCTTCACCACCACCCCAACCATGCCTTCTGGACAGCTGTTATCCTGCTCTCTATCTATGAGTCTGTTACTATTTTGCTTGTTACTTCATTTTGTTCATTAAATCCCACTCATTAGTGAAATCATATGATATTTTTTTCAAAGTCTTCCTTAATTCTCCCAGTTGGAATCATCCCTGCCTTCTCCCATATTCTATAACCCTTGGTGGTTAATCAACTTCTAATATATTTACACTCTCTAGTGTTATAGTTATTCCCACAAGAGTTTCTCTCTTAGTCAAATAAGAAAGCTCCAGGAGCACACAGAAACCATGCCTTCTATTTAGCTCAGTGCCTCTTAGGTAGTAAGAAAATAAGTATGTTGTATGTGTGTGCCTGTGAGGAAGAGTATGTACCAATGGTGCTGTTTAATGTACTAGTATTACTTACTCTGGGACATGACAAAAGTTTGAAAGTTGAAGAAATTAAGGTTTTGAGTCTGAATGCTACTGCCCACTACATTCCAAGTTGTCCCTTGAATACCTTAACCTGTATTTACTGCTGATTCTCTGCTTTGCACTAATCATCAGTTTTACCTGTATATCTTCTGACTAAACCTGACTTTTAAAAAATACAATCTCAATGCCATAGTATTTTTTTCCTGATAACATAAGCCTACATAAAATACCTATCTAACGTTCCCTTTAGTCAGGGTAGAATACTTTAAGGCCCTTTTTTTTTTCTCCCACCTATTCATGTACAAAAGATAGATTCATTTTATAAAACAAACAAACAAAAATTTACTATTTTATACTTTCCTAGAATATTCACTCTTTAAAAACATGCTTCAATGTTGATCTTTCCTAATAGATAGTATGTTTGGCTTAAATAATGAAATAGGTTTATTAAGTGGCTAGTATAAAAAAAAATCTAAAGATATAATTGGATCAAGAACTAAAAGAAAAAATAATCTCAACAAAATATGTCCTAGAGCCCATTTCTGAGCAATTGTCCTATAGTCTATAATTATGAATAAAATACCCTCTGAAAAGAACTCATCAGAATCTGAGGGAAATGAGAACAATAGGGTAGGTATTACAAAAGATTGGTTCTTCTCAGATAATTGTTTTTAATAAAATGGTAAAAGTGTAGGGAGCACCAGGCAACTATAATTAGGATAATAATCTATTGTTCTATAGGAATAGATATCCTATGCTTTTTCAATTGGAAAGCAACAAAAAAAATGAAGTAAAGGATTAGTGGAGATGTTTGAAGAATAGTTAGACATCAAAATGTAGAGGTCATTCATTAACTCTCCTTTATAGCAGAATTAAGAAAATGATGAAAAGTGCATACTGTGCTGTATACAGGATCTAAGAGCACTCTATTTTTAAGAGAAGCTCGGGGACACAAGAGCTGCTTTGTATACATCTTCTCTTTATTTGTGTAGGTACATTTGTATCTTGACACAAAGGATCTCCTGTACACTATGGAATTCTATTCTCTGACAATCATGAGTGTGCTATCATTGGTCTCTTTATTTGGAAGAAATTCTGGGAGAATCTTAATTTGATCCAAATTTGACAGATCAATGGGGGAGGGGGAAAAGAATACTTATGTAAAACTTTAAACAATAAAGAATTTAAATTTAAAAAAGAATTGTCATATATGTGTTTTCAAGATAGGGAACATAAAAAGATATAAGACAACTGAGTGAAAAGATCTGTTTTTAAATCTTCATTTTTCAGATTTTAAAAAAAGGGGATGCTTAAAGTCAAACCTTCTACCCTACTCAGTGCTGGGAAGGGAAGAAGCACCTTTGTCCAGGAGTTCCAGCCACTGGGTACTCCAGGTTAGAGGACAGCTAGACCATTCCCTAATACCTATAAAAGAGTGTGTCATTCCCATCCCAGAGAGCCTGCCATTACATGCTGGGTAGAGAAGCCTGACATGAGGACTATACCAAATGAGCTTCAAGATGAGGTCCTTACATTTGGGCTACAGGTTTTTTTTCTTCTCACCTGAAGCTGTGGACCCTCAAATAGCTAGGTCCCAACAATCCTAATTTAAGTATAAATTTGGCAGTATAGTCCATTAGTTAATAGCACAGGCTCTGGAGTAGGATCACATAAGTTCAAATCCTCTGCCATCTATCTATACCTGTGGAGCCTTGGCAAATCACTTAACTTCACTGAGCCTCAATATATTCATCCATAAAATGAAAGTGAACATACCTCCTATCTTAAAGGGCTGTTATGATAATTAAATAATTAAATGAAGTTAAAGTTCTTATCCTGGAACATAATGTATACTTAAATACTAGCTATTTTTGTAATTATCTAAAACTAGTGGGAATATTTATCTCCCTTCTTTTTCAGTCTAATAAGAGTTTGGGACTGCATTACAAATGAACTAAGTGATCATCTCTGGAAAAGAAGTTTAGACTTTTCAAGTAAACCCAATGATCTGCCTGCCTGACCCATTTCCTTGACCTAGTGTGCCTGGCTGCCTGCATGGCTGCCTTAACCCAGTGTGCCCAGCCTGCCTTCCAGCCTGTCCCACCACACTGACTTAGCAAATCAGGCCCTGCCATTATGACCCAATGGCCCCAGAACGCACAAGCTTGCCATAATGACCTGGATGCCTGACTTGGTGCCCTCAGATGACTGGCCACACTGCCTTGCACCTACGCTGCAGCCTTTACCCAGCACCCCCAGATTACTAGCCTGCTAAAATGGGGAAACTAAGGAATAACACCCAAATTAAAGAAAAGGAGGAATTGTGAGAAAAAGAACTAAATTAAATGGAGGCAAGCAATTTATGAGATATAGAGTTCAAAGTAATGGTTATAAGGATGCACGAACAAATTAGTGAGAAGTAAAGCAACTTAATGGGAATTATAAGGAACAAAGTGGGAAATTCATAAGCATGAAAGAAAAGATGTAGAAACCATGAATAAGAATCAATTGGAAACGAAGAATGACATTGCAGCAATAAAGAATACCATGGAAAGAACAGTAAATTAGAAAAAAAAACTGAGGACCAAATCAGTGAATTAGAAGACATGACAGAGAAAAACATCCCATCAGAGCATCAATTAGAAAATAAATTATAAAGCAGGAGGATAAGAGAGCTTTGAGGCAACATGAAATGTAACAATATCCACACCACAGGGTAAGGAAAAGAATCTGAGAAAGGAATAAAGAACATGCTTGAAGAAATAATGAGAGAAAACTTAGTGAAGGAAAAAGTCACTCAAGTTAGAGAAGCACACAATCCCAGTCAAAAGAACCCAAGAGACTGTGCAGCCAGCAAGAGAGTATCTTGCAGGGACGCAGTCTTTCCCCTCTGTGGCCTGTGCTTTTCTTCACTGAACCTAGTTCATAGGACCATTTGGATATGGAAACACACCATAGCTGAGGTGCAAGAGAAGGTGCAGACTTGTGGATTCTGGGGAGAGGCTGGGAAGAGGAGGAAGTCCAGGAGAATTTGAGTCTGGAGTTGAGTAATACCTGAGCCTGAGATCTAGGCAACCATTTTCTCCTGAAGAGATAACCCTTCCCTCCAGTCTCCAGGCAACCAATACAGCCACACCCAGACTACACCCTGGACAGTAAAAAGGCTTTTTAAAAAGTCTGAATAGTTCCTGAGAGTCCAAAGGGACTGGCCTAAAGAGAGGCCTTCAGTCCCAGCAATAGGAAACTGCAGACAGTACAGAAGATTGGGATCTTAAGCCAGTCAAAGGAACAACACTTCAATTTTTCATTTTTACTTTATTTTATTATTACTTTATCTCTTTTTTCTTCTTTTTTTTTCTTTATTTTTCCTTTTTTTGTTTGTTGCTTTATTTTCTATTTCTTTTTCCATCATTCTATTTTATTTTATTTGCAATTTTTATTTATTTTTATTTTCACACCATTTTTAAATCAATATTTTTGTAAACTTTTATTATTTTTTTTCTTGTTCTCTTCTCCACGCATGCCCTTCTACTTCCTCTATACTGAACTGAGATCCTCCCCATATTCATCCAATTCTTAACCTTATTTTCTGTATATAAGCTCAGCCTCTACAGATTCTGCCCCCACCCTCTTTGCTGGGTGTTTGGTGTTTGCATTTTTTAGTTTATCTGTCTGTTCTGTGGTGTTTTTTCCATATATAAACTGAGTAGCCAGATTATTATGATTTCTGAATGCATAATAATTTGACTACTTAGTGTATATCCTATATAATAAAAGGCTAATATGCAAATTGTCTCCTCGACCAGGAGTTTGACCAGCAGGCAGGCCAGCAAACTGCCCATGTGCCCCCACACCGCAGCCAGGCTGGCCAGACCCACCCATATGTGAATTCATGCAGCGGACCACTAATATATATTTTTTTCCTTTTTCTTTTTTCTCTTATTTTTTTTTCTCGCTCTTTGATATAATTTGTGCTCTCTTTTCTGTCCACTAATTCTCTTTTCTCAGGTGGTTACTTATATAGGGGTTATCAGTGTCATGAGCACATTTGTGTTTTGTTCCCTTTATGTCATGTCTTGTTCAGGTGAGTTTTATCCTGTCTGACCAATGTGCTAGAGAGCAAGCCACATAACCAGACACCTGGAGAGGAAACTCCACCTACAAACAAGTCAATAACAGCCTAGACCCAAATAGAGAGGCAGGAAGAAGGTGACAGTAAGTAATGTGAGTGAGGGAGGGAGCAAAAGAGGAGTGTGTGGTTGTGTGTGTGGGGGTGTGGGTGTGTGTGTGAGTGAAGCACAGTTATATCCTAAAGGACCTTCGGGGGCAGTCTAACTGGGCTCAACTAACTAGGCAACCACTACTACCATTGCAAACAGTACCAGGAGGCCAGCTCTACCTCAGAGGTCTCTCCTTTTTGAAGGGAGAGCTCCTGTTACTGGGAGCCCAGCCTCACCTCCACCCAGGGTGCCCTCAGATAACACCTGGGACTTTACAGCCACCCCTGCCAGGGACCTGCTACCTTGTCTGTGGCCCCACAGTCAATGAGTCTCCAGTCACCCTGGGCATAGGATCCTATGAGATCTGAAGCGCGTTCCTTCTGACTGGCCCAACGCTTTAGCACAAGGCACTGTGACGACGCAAGTGGAAGAAACGTGAGCAGCCCACTCATTTACAAGGAGCAGCAGTCCCACAAGTAGCACACCCCAGGCTGAAGAGTAGCTGGCTTACATGGCCTACCCCTGTCCAAGGAGCAGAAGCTGTGTGAGCAGCCTGTTCCCCTGTATAAAGAACAGCAACCATGTGAGCAGCCTGCCCTTATCTGAGGAGCAGCAGCCACATGAGCAGCCTGCCCATGACCGAGGAGCAGCAGCTCTGCATAGCAACCCCCATCTGAGAGCAACAGCTACACACAGTTTGCACCCTGCACCCATCTGAGGAGAAGCAGCAGCACAAGCAGTCTGCCCCTATGCAAAGAGGAACAGACCTGCAATCAACTTGCCACTGTTCAAGGAGCAGCAGCCTCATGAGCAGCTTGCCCCACCCAAGTAACAGCATCCATGCAACCTTCCCCTATCCATCCAAAGATCAGCAGCAACATGAGCAGAATGCCACCATCTGAGGAGCAGGAGCCTTATGATCAGCCCATGCCCGTCTGAGGAGCATCAGTTGTGTGAGCAGCCTCCACCCACCAATCAGAGTAGCCAACACTGCTGCAAACTGCACTTGGCAGAGAAGTCACTGCCAAGTGAGGAGCAGCCACTGCCACAGCAGCTGAGGAGCAACCACAGCCCAAGGAGCCACTGCCACCCAAGGAGCAGTCCCTGCATGACTCAACATCTAGATCTGTTGGTGAGACTAAAAATGAGTAGACAAAGAAACCCCCAAAGGAAAAAAAAAAAGGAGGAATTGCCAGAAAAGCAGCTAAATAAAATAGAGGCATGAAATATGTAAGAAAAAACTCAGAATAAGGGTCATACAGTTCATAAACTGGATAGATGAAAAAAATCAACAACTTATGTAAGCATTAAGAAGAAATGAAGAGTGATATAGCTGCAATAAAAAACACCATGGAAAGTTTCAACAGTAGAGTAGGAGAAGCAGAGGACCGAATTAGTGAATTAGAAGACAGGAAAGAAAAACACACCCAAACCAAACTGCAATTGCAGAAAAAAAAATAAAAGACAAAAGGACAGCCTAAGGGAGCTATAGGATAACATAAAATGAAGTAACATACGAATAATAGGGGGACCACAACAACAGGAAGAAAAACAAGAGTTAGAAAACCTATTTGAAGAAATAATGTCAGAAAACTTTCCTGATGTGGGGAAGAAAAAAGTCACACAAGCACAGAGAGTCCCAAACAAGATGAACCTAAAAAGACCCTCATCAAGACACATCATAATTACAATGGCAAATGTTCAGGACAAAGAGAGAATCTTAAAGGCTACAAGGGAGATGCAGAAAGGTATGTACAAGGGATCTCTCATTAGATTATCAAATGATTTCTCAACAGAAACATATCAGGCCAGAAAAGAATGGAAGGAAATTTACAAAGTAATGCAAAGCAAAGGAGTGAATCCATGATTACCCTATCCAGCAAGGCTATCATTCAAAAATTTATAAGGAACCAAAAAATACCTGAATAGCCTCAGCAATATTGAAATCAGAATACCAGATATCAAGTTATACTACAAAGCCACTGTAGTCAAAACAGCCTGATACTGGCACAAGAACAGGTATATAGATCAATGGAACAGAACAGAGAATCCAGAAATTGACCCACACCATTGCACTCAATTAATATTTGGCAAAGGAGGCAAGAACATACAGTGGAGTCAAGACAGTCTCTTCAATAAGTGGTGTTGGGAAAATTGGACAGATACATAAAAAAAAAAATGTAACTATACCAGCAACTTACACCATACACAAGAATAAACTCAAACCATAAAAATCCTAGAAGAAACCATATGCAGCAAAATCTTAGACATCTCTCATAGTAATTTGTTTACTGATGATACATCTTCTAGGGCAGTAGTTGGCAAATCATGGCTTGCTAGCCACATGTGTCTCTTTGGCCCCTTGAGTATGGCTCTTCCACAAAATACCACATGCGAGTGTGCACATACAGTGCAATTGAAACTTTGTGGCCCATGTTCAGAAGTTGGTTTTCAGTCTGGGCAAGTCTATTTTGAAGAAGTGGTTCTAACACCAAGCCACACTCAAGGGGCCGAAGAGCCTCATGTGGCTTGCAAGCCATGCTTTGCCAACCACTGTCCTAAGGTATGGAAAACAAAGGAGAAAATAAATCAAAATTAACACACACACACAACCTTCTGCACAGCAAAAGAAACCATCAACAAAATGTAAAGGGAGGGCATTGTATGGGAGAACATATTCATCAATGATACATTTGATAAGTGGTTAATTTCCAAAATACATAAGGAACTCATATAACTTAATGATGGGGAGATGATCCAATTTTAAAAATGGGCAAAGGACCTAAGTAGACACTTCTTCAAAGAGTACAAACAGATGGCCAAGAGACATATGAAAAAACTAGAGGCCTGGTGCAAAAAATTTGTGCATGGGGAAGGAGGATGTGTCCCTCAGCTCAGCCTGCACCCTCTCCAATCTGGGACCCATCTCACAATCTAGGACTGCTGGCTCCCAAACATTCGCCTGCCTGCCTGCCTAATTGCCCCTAATTGCTTCTGCCTGCCAGCCTGATCACCCCCTAACCACTCCCCTGCCAGCCTGGTCACCCCTAATTGTCCTTCCCTGACAGCCTGTCCCCCCAACTGCCCTCCCCTGCAAGCCTGGTCCCCCTCATCTGCCCTTCCCTGCCAGCCTGGTTGCCCTCAACTGCTCTCCCCTGCAGCCCTGGTAAGCCCCCAACTGCCCTTCCCTGCAGGCCTTGTCCCTCCCAACTGCTGTCTTCTGCAGGCCTGGTTCCCCCTAACTGCCCTCCCCTGCTGGCTCAGTCACCCCTAACTGCCCTCCTCTGTAGACCTGATAGCCCACAACTGCCCTCCCCTGTCGGCCATCTGT